CAGGCATACCTGGCACAAGATCTGCAATTAAAGTCGGAAAGGACTTCTAGGAGTCCTTCAATACCGAACAAAGATTCATAAAAAGTAACAGGTGCTTATAATTTGGTAATATATTTTCTTATTTGATAGTAAATCTCTCAACCAACTCATTATTGACTTTTGGGGGTAAAAAATCATACGAGATGCAAAAGCGATGTGGCACCCTGTACTCCAAACAGCACATGTTACTCGCCTACGACGCACTATGTCGCGAGTTCATATAAACAGCGGCCAAAAATAGAAGGAGTTATCGTAAGTTAATAAAATTTGGTACATGTGCTTATTATTGGCCTAAAGAGCAACTGACAAAAAATTGGAAAGATCGGACCAAGATTTCGTATACCTCCCATACAATGGGTCTTGAGAATGTCACCCTTTTTGGCCTATAAAATCTTTAATATTCAAACAAATTCAATGAAAAGTGGCAATTTACATTTAATTAGGCCTCTAAAGCAACTGACCAAAAACTGGGTAGATCGGACCAAGATTCGATATACCTCCCATACAAAGGGTCTTGAAAATGTTACTATTTTGGGCTATATAATCTTTAATATTCAACCAAATTCAATGAAAATTGGCAATTTACATTTACTTATGCCTATAAAGCAACGGACCAAAAACCAAATTACATCAAATTTGGGCGAAGAAAGTAACAGGTGCTGTAATTTAGTTGTTGGCCCATATTACAGGTACCTACCATACCAAAAGTACCTAAAAATGTAACTTTCTGTACTATAAAATCGTTATATGCAGCTAAATTAAGTATAGTAGTTTTATTTTTGTTATTTTTATTATAATATAATAAATATTTGATATCCTTTAGTAACTAATAAATTACTTGTTTATCATTCACAAAATTTTCAAAACACACATCAGAGATATATATAAAATAATGACTTCCCAAATGTACGATTTAGTATTATCCACGTTATAATCTCGTGCCTTTACTTTATGGCTGTTTAAGGATATTACTAGGTCGGATTGTAATATAAAATTCTAAATAAAATCCTTATTTAACTCGGCTTTAACAAAAGTTCGGGCTGCTACTAATTATTTGTTGGCATCTTGTGAAAGTCGCTGCCATGAACTAACATTTTTCTGTATAAACTTTCCACAAAGGTAATTCATGTGCGACATCTAAATTTAGATTATAAGATTATGTCTCAAATGATCTGATAAATAAGTATAATCTTCAATCTGACTGAAAATTTATTTAAAAGCTATATTTTAAAACCAATTCTCCCATATCTTCGCTTCGAATAACGTTTTTACCACTTAATTGCATATTTTATGTAAAATATTGTATTATTTCTATGTTCTGAATACATATTCTCCTTCCTAATTGACCCTCAATAACTTATTTAACACTAGCTGTAACAGCCACCTTTGAAGTGGAACTGACAGTAAATGGAGAGATCTCCCATTTATAGAATCTAATTTATTGGTTTATCATGAAACCATCGTGTACAGTCCTAACAATATTTGTAACGGCTCATTTTCGTCAATGTCAGGCTTTGAACTAGAAAAATAATTAGTGTAACGTTAGTAAAATTCAATTTTATTATTTTTTTATTAAATATTATGAACAATAACTCATATAATTACACTGGTCGACACGAAAATTATTCAGGGGTTCTGTTTAGTTGGAGACAATTCTGTTTAGTTGGAGACCCTGGACCACGAAAATACCTTTGGCTTTTTCTGGGTCACTTCGAAAATTAATTTTATAACGGTAAATGTAGAGGAAAGCGTGGTCTCATAGATTTTCAAGTTGAATCGCGAATAACAAATTCACTTTATAAACGATTTATATTATTTTTTTATTTCAATCAAGATATATATATTTGGTAAATGGGTTGAGGATTGACGGAGTTACAGTGGTTGAAATGTGAAAAAATACGCCTAAAAAGACCAAATTTATTTTTCTTCGGACTGTACGATGAAATTATGATATCAAGCCGTATAATTTTTATTATATTACGGGGAAGAAAATTAAATAAGCTTTCGAAAATGAGAAAAAAATTGGTTAAAAAATGGATAACTTATACACATTTTTGTATTGATTCTATGCATATTCTCTAAAGGAACTATGGGTCTATCTCGTTTCCTTTTGCCATAAAATCAATACAATAATGTGTATAAGTCATCCATTTTTTAACCGATTTTTTTTATTTTTCTCATTTTCGAAAGCTTATTTAATTTTCTTCCCCAAAGGTATTTCCGTCTTCCAGGGACTCCAACTAAATAGAATTGGTACATTAGAACCCCTGAATAATTTTTTTGTTGTTTTGTACCACAGTGTTATGAATGGTCGCAAAATTCTGGACAGAGAACATATCAAGGTGTCGGTTGATAACCATACTAATTTCCTCCGGCACTATGTTCTGAAACTCAATTGGAAAAAGACATATTCATGAGCTTTATTCACAATTTTCTTGATTAACTTTCATTAGTCATTTTTAGGGCTAATCTAGTGTCACTAGGTTCTGAAACTAAAATATTTTGGAAATATATACGAAATTTGTAATGATTATCTTCATATTACTAAAACTTTTAACTTTCATTAGAATCTCCAGTTCCTGTTGTTTGGTTTTGGCCTCTTGCCATTCGTAAACCGTGAAGCACAATGATATATAATTTTACTGGTGTAAAGTTCGAAGTCTCCAGATTTGAAATATATAACGCTTTCCCTTCTATTTAAAATGAACTCTTTGCCAAAAAAAAATAAAAAATAAAAAAATGGGCCAGGCCCAATGCGACATCGTTCAAAACAATATGAAGATTCTACGCCAACTTACAAATATCGCCAATAGCAAAAATCGGGCTGAAAATCGTTCGTACTATGGTGGAGGGTTAAGAAAGTTCAACAATTGATCTTATAATTTCCTCCCTTTCTCAAAGATTTAAAGTAGTTCAATGCAGTCCTAATTAATTTAGATTTCAGTAATTGTTCGATCAATTAAAATACTTTATTTTGGCATAAGCTATTAAGTGCCTTCAAATACAAATCCACTTAATAGTCTATCTGATATGGTAAAATATATAACGAGCACACAAAAATAACATTACTACTATGTTGTATATGTGTGTGATTACATTGAACTAAGTCACCCTCCTCCACCCCCACAAGTTCAATGAACTTGGTAAAGCTTCCGTTCGAACAAACCCAAAAAGAATCTAACAGCATTTCAATAGAAATAAAAGAAATGCCACTACGCTAAGTGTGTTTGTTGCATGTAATAACAACATTACAGGTCCCAGGCACACACTTACACAAACGGACACACAAACATACTTTGGACATGGCATAAATCCCGTTGGAGAAACATAAAAAACCAAAGAAGGGAAAACTCTGTACTTGAAAAAATAGAAATCGCCAAAAAGTTACAGTGCCCCAGCAAAGCAAAGCTGTCCCAAAAAATGAAAAAGAAAAAAAGATGAAATTTCCATAAAAGGGTGCCTTGCAACTATTGTAGGGAAAAACGATGCATTTTTTGTAAAGTAAATGTTGTTGTTGTTTTGTTTGTTACCAAGAAGCCTTAGAAGCTAGTATCCTTGTTTTTTCCATGAAAACGAAAGGAATCTCAAACATTGAGGGAAACAACGGAATACCCCATTAAAATTGGAAAGCACTGCATAAATGAATTTCCGGCTACAGGATAATGCCAGGATACATAAAAAATTGTGGCATGTGCTGATGTATGCAGTTTTTTCCCTACTCGCCACGATGTTGTTGTTGTTTTTCTGTCCATCATCGTATTTTCCTTCTAGTAAGCGTAAACGTAGTATTTTCCAATTCGTAGTAAACAATCAGGATTCATGTTGACACACACATACACACACAGAGAGTCCCATACATAGCATTACAACAACCAGACAGACACAGAGACTGCCGATCTACCTACCCCACCAAATAAATTGTTTTTGTTGTTTTTATCTGCGTTGAACTGCATTGTTGCTGCTGCCAACACATTCGTTATAGGCAGCAGCCTGTTACAGTCTAAAGGACTTTCACTGACGCCGGCTTCTATTCTCTCGACACACAAAAGGAGCTGTAATAAACAATAACAAAAACAACAACAACAGCACGAATTGTGACGACAGAATTCTTTTGTTTGTTTGGGAGTGTGTGTGTGTGTGTGTGTGTGCGAGTCAGATTTTGGGGGGATGCAAAAGGGTGACTAATATTAAGTGAATACCAAATACCGACTACTGCCTAGTAGACAGCGAGTGAGTGTCTGTGTGTGCGTGGATTTGTGTGGCATTCTAGTTGTCTGGCTAAAAGGACAACATTGTTTGCCACCAAACAAGTAAATGGGGTTGAAAATCCTTACAACGTACACACACACAAACATAGAAAGCCAGCCAGCCTGTTAACACCGCTAATGTGGTTGTGCGTGCGTGCGTGTCTGTAAATTTTGTCTGGTTGGAAGGTCGTTGTATTCTTACTTGCCTTAACAATGAAACCAGAGGGTTTTCCCCTGCATTTGTTTGGGATTCCATTTACTAAGGGTTCGAAAACACCACCCTCTGTCCTTAGGGGCAGCGACTGTCTGCCACGAATATAAATTGCCAGACATTCGAAATTGTTAGTCATTCTTAGCCTAAACGTCGCATAGAGCACAACGAACGAGAAGAGCACAAAAACCACCCAATTCATATTCAATCTCTTTTTGTTTTGTTCGTTTCATCAACGTTTTGTTAACAATATTTTCGTTAAGTTTAAGTTAGTTTATCATCATCCGACAAAACACCATCATCATCCTCCAGCACCTTTGTACAATAACCGATGTCTAAGTTTTATAATTCAGTTCGATTTTTATATGATTTTCGGCTTTGTAAAATTTGAAAAAAACAAATAATTGAAAAAAACTTTTTTAAAAGAAATCAAACAGTGAAAGTGTGCAATAAATCGCAAAAACCCCAAAAGCAAAACCAACAAAATGGCTGCTGTACAACAACAACATCACCACCACCACAGCAATAGTCTGCAGGTGTTGCATGGCCACAGTTTTGGTGGCATGCCCCATGGTTTGGGTTTATTGACGACAGTGGCATCACTGCCACCAAAATATCGTGCCCGTTACCTGAAAATCCAAACCAAAACTGAAATTCCCCTGGATTTATCCGTCAAGCCATTGTCCCCGCAAACCCAACACACCGCCAGGCCTCAAACCACACCCAACCCGGACAATGAAGTACCAATGGCTGTTAACTTCACTGAGGTCTATACCGAACCCTGTTCGGATACCCAATCTCAGGCCAGTGAGGATATTGTAGAGGAAATCTGCTCAAGTTTGGCCAATGCCGATTCCCAGGTGGAGGAGCATCACAATAAACCCATTACCCCACCTTTGACTCCAAACAAAAGAAAATTTTCTGAATCTGATTTGGATACCGAAGTGGAATTTAAAGAGAACCAGTCAAAAATGGCAAAAGTAGAAAATATTTCTTCCGCCATGTCCAAACAACCTTTGGTGGAGCAAACCCCGGCCAAGCAACCCATCAAGACCTCCGATACCGCACCAAAAACTTCGAAAAACTCCTCATCGCAACAGAAAGCTTCACGTAGCCATAAGGCAACACGTAAACTGAAATTCGATGAAGAAACCAGTTCTCCTGTATCGGGCACCATTATACGCCCCCTCGAAGATATAACCGATGGTTCGGTGCAATACAGTAACGGTGATATTGATCCCAAGTATAATATTGTTGAAATTACTGAGGAGACCAAGGCGGAATTGGCGGCCATTAAAAATGTCATTGGCGACTACATTTGCCGTTTGTGCCGCATTAAATTTGATGATGCCTTTGGTTTGGCCCAGCATCGTTGTGCCTGTATTGTCTTGCTGGAATATCGTTGTCCTGAGTGTGGCAAACAATTTAATTGCCCAGCAAATTTGGCATCGCATCGTCGGTGGCATAAACCGCGTAAGTCTCAAGCTGCAGGTGAAAATGTGCAAGCTACAAATGCTGCTGGCGCAACAACAACAACAATTCGGGAAAAGAAAAATTCGAATAAAAAATCAGAAAATGAAGTTAACGGAGATCAAGGCACCTCGTATGATTGTCAAGAATGTGGTAAGAAATTTAAGCGTCAGGCTTATCTGAAGAAACATGAATTGACACATCAAAAGGTGCAGAAACAGCAGCCTGCAGCACAAAGTTCCGCTACACCTGTCATTCAAAGTTTGAGTGTAAATGCAACCAGTCCCCAAACATCACCCATTCGCCAAGAAGTCAGCTACTACACAAATACTTCATCTCATAGTGATGAGGATCATGAAGATGATTCCATGTCCGGTTACAGTACCACCTCTTCGCATCACTACGGACGTTTGCAAATTGTTGAGACCGGTCTCACCGAAGAGGAGAATATTGCAGCAGCAGCATTGACGAATTTACGCAATTGTGCTTCAGTCATACAACACACCACTTTGGCTCACTAAAAAAAATCCAAAGCATACTTCTAGGGGGTGGTGAACAAAACACCAGGCAAAGGTGTCATTATAATCGATGAAGCATAAAAACACATCGTGGAGGAAGCAAACGGTGGTGTCATTATTTGCAATAACAGGTGAACTTGTACTCGTATGTATGTATGTTTTAATTAATCAACTAATTTGTTGTTATTATTGTATATATGTAATTATGTTGTCTTGGGATGTATATTTTATTACCCCATTTCCTTTTTTCAATTCTATGCAATATTTGTTTCTGTTTCTCTTTTGTTGTTTTATACGATTCCAATTGGAAAGGAGCAGTTTTTTTAAAGGCAATTATTTTAGGGGTGACATATCCACCCCATTGTTTATAATAGATTATTTTTCATAGGTTATGTTTATGTTTTAAGTTTTGTACAAAAAAAAAAATCAAAATTTCAACTACAGCTAAATTTTCAAAACCAAAGATTTCAATTTAGATTTAATTCGAGATATGTTTATTTGTATTGGCAACAATAACAAAAAATATCTCATATTTTCAATTTAAGTTTTAGGTTTAAAAATTTTTGAACAAAAGAGAGAAAAGATTGACATTTTATAAAAAAAATCATTTAGATATAGATTTCGAAAAATAAATATTGAAATTTATTTTTCAAACTACAGCTAAATTTTTAAAACCAAAGATTTGATTTAGATTTAATAGGATTTTTTCGGCAAAAAATTTCAAACATATTTTGATTTAAATTTAGATTTGAAAAGAAAATTTTCAAAATTAATTTAGGTTTTATTTCGAACCAAAGAATGAGTGAACACTCTAGTCAATAATTTTAGTTTTGAAAAAAGAAATTCTAAAATTTTCAAAATTATTTTAGTTTAGTTTTTATTCCAAACCAAAGAATGAGTGAACATTCTAGTCATTAGTATTAGGGTGGTGGGTTCAGAACATCACAAAGATGAGCGAAAGTTCTAGTCATTAGTTTTAGTTGATATTTTGGGAATTATTTTCTAGTCAAAAAATATAAAATTTCCAAAAGTCATTATTTAAAAAAAAATCTAGTCATTTCAAAAAATTTTTAAAACTTTTTCAAGAAATAAAAAAAAATATTACAAAATTCTATATAAATATCAAACTAAATTTTAAATATTTTCAAAATTCATACCAAATTAATAAATTTTCTAGTCATTATTTGTTGTTAAAACAAACCAAATATGTAAATATTCTAGTCATTTGTTTTAGACAACAACAGCAAAAATTCAGCATAAGTTCTAGTCATTAGTTATAATTTTGGAACATAATTTCTAGTCAGGAATCCCCGAAAATTCCAAATTACTATTTACCAAAAATTAGATACTATTTATATTTAATTATTCTAATCCGTCTTAAAATTATTTAAAAAAATTATTCAAATGTCAATCTTTTTTCCTCTTTCAAATATTTTAAAAATTTCCACAATATAAGCTTCTCAACTGATCTCATATTAGTAATTTTAGATATTTAATTACATTTTTCAAAATTTCAGTTTTGAAAATTGTTTCCAAAAAACCAACATACAGGCTAAAAAATGTGCAGTTTCATTTAGGATTAAAAAAAGAAAACTATATCAGCTTCATAAGATCTCAGTCAATAAATTAAGGAAAACCAAACCAAATCTTGTAATCCAAAAACAAATTAACCAAAATTCAGGCAAATTTTGTGCAGTATTAATTTTTAAGTTTATAGGTTATTTATTTACTCATAATTTAATTTTTAATTCTAATTCTAAAACAAAGAAAAACGAGTGTGAACTCTAGTCATTCCATTCAAATACTTAGATTGGTGGTATAAAGAAAATAATATTTTTAACCCCAAATAAGAGATTTGAATTAATTTTAAGATTTAATTTTAAGTAAAAGTGAAAAAAGCAACACCAGCTATATATAAAACACTACCATTAATTTTTAAGTAACAAAAAAGGTAACAAACAAAGAAAACTCTGGACCTTAAAATAACAACAGTACAATATACAAAAAAAATATATGAAAAAAATATTTATTTATATTTATAAGAAAACAATAAGAATAATATTAAGAAAATAATGCGGTTGTGTACTTAAAAAATTATAATACTAAGAACAACAACAATATATCACAACATTATTGTTCCTTAAAACAATAATATTAAAACATCTCAGAAGAAGATCTCAATATTATATATATATATTTTCTATATAAGTTAAAAAAATCACAAAACAAAAAAATTAAAAAAAAAAAAACAAAACGCATCAACAAACACACACAATCATATCTTTGTATATATTCTACATATATTTTTTATACAAGTCAACATTTTTTACCGTAATAGTATTAAAAAAAAAACAAAAAACAAAAAATCTTGTCAAACATGAAAAAAAATATTGTAAATAAATTTCTTATATGTGATACTATTTTATAACATTCCACTTAAGTAAAGCCTAGTATTATGTATATTTTTAAATATATATAGAACACAAAAATAATTAAAAGTGTAGATTATATTTTATACGCAAAGAAAAACATTGTAATTTTAAGAATTATTTTATATATATTTTTATACTATGCAAAACAATGAACAAATATAACAATAAAAATAAAATTTAAATAAAAAAAGAAAATATTACATGACTTTTTATTATTACAAAAAAAAAAAAAAACAGTGAGCGGAGCAGTATAGTCGGACGGGGCCGACAATACGATACCCTACACAACTACCACGGAAATCAAACTTTCTGCGGATGTTTATTCCTAGCCTGGGCAATATTTCGTGATATTTGCACCCTCTTGCCCGATTAGAGGTAAACAGCACATCTTCCTTGCACTGACATATTTTCCGAATATTACGAGTATTCAGTACAGCTATTGTCCAGATTCCTTCCACCGTGGGTTGTGTTGTGATGTTCGGCTTTCATTTATTGTCTATAGATCGACTCGAAAAAAACACAAAAATTAAGTTTTCGGTCCACTTCATTCCAAAATTATTACCTGATTATCACTTAAAATTATAGGCGTTGCCCTTGGCCATAACTGGAACCTCATGGAACATTTCAAAGCGTTCAGAGCTATAGTTCCGCTCTCTAGAGTGATAATGGGTTACTAAATAACATACAGCAATATAATTGGTATTAGTATAAAGGTCAATCACTCCTCTTAGATATAATATCAAATTCTTGGGTCTATGTCCTTCAGGGGTAAATATATATACAATACAAATTTTGTAATTTTTCACACAAAAGTCCGAGTTCAATTGACCCGCTAAATATTGACCGACCTTTATCAAAACAGGCATGCTTATTCTTTGGCCAGATCCCTTTCTCCATGCAAAATTTCACGATGTTCGGGCCATTATTGCGGCCTCTGGAGCGAGCAGAAAAACCGATAAAAATTTAGTATTTGGTCCATTTCATCCCCTAAATATTAACCGATCTCTCCCAAAAACAATAGGGGTCTTCATTGGCCAGAACCCATCCCACATGCAAAATTTCGTGAAGATTGGTACATAACTGTGGCCTGTATCGTGTTTACAAATTATAATGGACAGACGGACGGACGTACGGACACACATGTCTAGATCGACTCAGCTAGTCGAGATATGACGATCGGTATACTTAAAGGTGGGTCTAGGACCAAACTTTTGGGGCTGCACAAAGCTATAATACCCTGACAACGTAGTTGTGTAGGATATAAAAACGTTTGAGCACATCGAAGGCAAAATTTGGCTATGCCTGCAAAATACAGAAAATCGGATGGTGATATCCTATTTAATGAGACCTCCAATTACAAAATGGATGATTGCTTGAAAACGTACCCCAAAAATTCAAAATACCGAATATTCGGCGGTGCCATTATATGGGAGCTACCCCGAAACATTGGCCAATATTGATAATTTCGCTAGGGAAATTTGCTATCAAGTAAGTACGCAAAATATTTATTTACAGTCAATTAGTTTGAAAAACGTTCCCAAAAGCATAAAAATGCGTATATTGGGGATACCATTATATGAGAACAACCGTCAAAAGTGGACCGTAAAATTCCATTTTCAATATCAAACATTCTAGATTTAGTTGCAATATCTATCTTAAATATTGCGATCTAACTTGGAATGTGAGACAGAAATGTGTTTCATGATTAATGAACCCGGAAAGCCAAATTACATCCATTTAATTGAGAAAATCTAAGAAATACCAAAAAATGGGAAGGGGCTTTGTCTAAACATGAATCTGTATTGAAAATCTTCTGCAACATGGTTTTTACCCTTCAGGAATTACAACCACTTTGGTTTAGAAAATGGTGATCAGATCTTCAAAATGCCGAAAAGGGGCATTCATTTTTATTGGGGCTATGCCTTTATTGAAAGTTCTAGTCATTACATTTTTATACAGAAAAGATGTGTCTTATCGAAATATAGGTTTAAGACCCCATGTTTTTTGGACCATATCCGTTTCAGACAATTTGGAGTCGATTTAAAAATGTCCGTCCGTTCGTCCGACAGCCTGGTCGGCTGGTGCGCACAATAACTCTCGAAGGAATTAACCTTTTTTATACCCTTCACCACACTGTGGTACCGGGTATTATGTCCTTGTGCATATGTTTGTAACAGGCAAAAGGAATCGAGATAGACATTCTGAGTCGATTTATGCATGTCCGTCCGTCCATGTATTTTTGTGAGCAAAGTACAGGTCGCATTTATGATCCGAATTGGATGAAATTTGGCACCGCCCATTGGTTTGGCCCAAGGACGAACCCTATTGAAATTGGAGAAAATCGGTTCTCCCATATATATTTTCGTCCGATTTTAGGTAAATGGTGCACCAAAGTCCCTAAAAATCATTAGATTTGCACCAAATTTGGCATAGCGTAATGAATTTAGTCTAGAATGATGTGTTCTAAATTTCGGTTCAGATTTAGATATAGCCCCCATATATAGTTTCGTCCGATATTAGGTAAATGGTGCACCAAAGTCCCTGAAAATCATTAGATTTGCACCAAATTTG